GCGATAAGAAGAAAAGCCAAAATGTCGTATTCTGCGATATACCGTACGCATGCCAACCATCCTTCCATGCTCTTAATAATAATATTTTTTTGCGATTACAAGACTTCCTCCTTGCAGCATGGAACGTTAAAGAACCCTGCCGTGTAACTTGTTCATGACGTTGACCTACTCTTATTCTCATGGAGGTAGTCGAATGCATGAAGATACAACCATGGTGCTTAAAAAATAAGCATTGATTTTTACCATTATTCCATTATTAAAGTTCTCTAAACACGAATGAATCTTCTTGATGGCGTTGAACCTCTTTTGTTCCATGTGCACCTGTCCGAAGGTCGTTCAGCTCATAGTGGTAGGGACTTCGCCGACATCATCATCATCGTCGTCGTCCACAATTTCGACGCCGCGGTATCTTCAGTCTACACGGGACCGAGAAACCTGTTGCTGACCGTTAATTTAAAACGTGCTGGTGGAAGTCCTCTCCGGAGAGGTAGTATGTGCAATCGGTGAAACGTGCGCCCGATCATATTTCGTTTTAGTGTTTTTCGTTTCGAAGAAACTCTATTTGGATTTAGAACTGGCTGTAGCAACGGGTCCAAGGATTTAGGGTATCGGTGGACGACACCGAAAAGCTCCGTGGGGTTTTTGTGATATCAGAAGGTTTGTGATTCATATTTTCTAGAACACAAGATAACTTCTACAGGATTGAGCATTTTTGTGGACAACTCAGATTCTACGCTCAAAGACATCCACTTCACACAACTCTGATTTTTTCCTCCACCCTACAACTAAGATTTGGATTTTGATTGTGCTCTAACGTTGGGGGCGTTCAGCTAATGTGAAGAGATTCACCGGTACTGTGCTTTTATGCCGAATACCAGTAGCCGTGGAATCCTCGTAGTTTTGACAATTCGCAACATTAATCAGAATACTACCTAATCAAACAACCAAGTGAAAACTGCTACCAAACGTACAAGGTTCTCTCATTGCTACAGCTATTTAACATAAAAGCGCTGAACGGTCCCAATGTCTCAAAGCATCTAGTGCTCCGGATGTCTCGATGTCATTTGACAAGGTGTAGAATAAGGACCTCCTCTATAATTTTCTTTAAACAATCAAATTGATCCAAAAGGGCTAACTCCGAAAATTTTTGAAGTCCTCCCTTGAAGGTAAGAACTTTCGGATCAATATTAATAATGCTATGTCGACAACATGACCCAACAGAGCCAGTGTTCCCCAGGGTGCGGTTCTTGGACCAATCCTTTATTCGCTTTTCATTCATGATGTCCCTTGCTCCAGCAAATTAGAAGTCTATCTCTATGCTGATGACACTGACCTGGTGACCCAGTCGTGTTATGGGAATCTGCAAAGTGCGATGTATGAGGTATTGGAGTGGGCAGATCGGTGGCTGACCAAAATTAATTATTCCAAAATGCAGGCTATCCATTGTACTAATAAATGTAGCGGCGCCTTGTCTAAGGTTTCAGTAAGCGAAGATAGCGTACCATGGGAAAATTATGCCAAGTGTCTTAGTGTTACTCATGATGAGAGGATGACTTGGCAGAAGCATACTGGAGCGTTAAAGAGGAAATTCCAAATTACATTTCGGCAACCCTATCCTATGCCGTACAGATCCTCAAAATTAAGTTTGAACAACAAACTTCAGCTATACAAGATGATTATGAGACCAGCGATCACTTACGCGTGTGCGGCTTGGTGTTTTCTCGCAAGATTATATTTTGCAAAACCTGCACAATCACCAACTTTCCATTGTATGTCTCCAATCAGACCCTTCATAGAGACCTCGACATCCCTACTAAGGGACTATATCAAACAACAAGTGCATCTACGTTACGGTCAAGCGGAATCGCATAGCAACTCTGTAATGCGTGAGTCAGTAGACTATACAGTCGAGCAAGTTCGCAAGCACACAAGACCGCGCCTCGCACTGTGAACAAAATTAAATAGTGGGACTTCAGGTCCGACCAAATTTACAATTTTTTTACAACAACCAATCTCTAAGTTAACTATAGGATCAATTTGAATTCCCCTAATTAACTTCTTGACTTTGTCTGATATCTGGGCAACCAGACCTGACAGACCTACTGACTTACGATACTTTAATCAAGAGCAAAGAGCCTACGGACCACTCTGGAAAACAATGACGAACAGAGAGAGCATCTAGTGCATCAGCACTTCAGTTGCGTGCTTCTCAAAGCTACTGACCACTTGCTACAGCTAAGACCCTTGGATTGGAAACATATCTGCTCATTTGCCACCTCCACTGGAACTGAAATATGTAACTCAAACACAGCGATTTCAGGGTGTCACTCTTCGTCTCTTTAGGAGGTCTTCCAATGTATCTCCTGAAATTCATCCACTGACTCTCAGAATCAAAACCACATATATGTTTAGATTTATGTTTATTTTTCGACGTTTCGGTCACCGCTGTGGTCTTTTCAAGTACAACTGACAATTCTGTGACAAAGTATTTTCTTTTTTGTTTTCGATGTGACATTTAGTTTTTTTCCTTTTTCCACATTTCTATACAACATGTTACTACAACAATCTGAACACTCCTGAAACATGCCCAGATTGCGCAAAGCCATCACTGCAGTTTTACTATGGCACCCGCGCAATGTAGTATTTGAAGTCGAAGATTACATAACAATTAACCTGTGTGTTGCGACAAGAGTTCTAGGTGGATTTTCGCATTTTCAGAAGACTTTTGGCGTTTTCGGAACGGTGGATTAGGGTGACCTGTCTGGTCGATTAAAAAACGACAGATAACCTCATGTTCGCTTATCGCTTTGGAAGCTGGACGTCCTTTTGTAGTAGCACACTGTCTAGAAATGTGAAAAAAGAAATGTCACCTGAAAGACAGGAAACAAAATATAATGACACATAATTGTTAATTGTACTTGAAAAACACCACAGTGGTGGTCGAAATGTCGTACAATAGAAATGTAAACATATATATGGTTTTGATTCAGCCAGCCAATGGAGTCCTATATCTCTCTATTAGTTAACTCACGTTAGATCTTTGAAATGCTGGACCTAGTACGATCAAGTATAAAAAAATATAGGCAAAGACAGTGAACAAGCAAAAATGAGCAATGTATTTGTAATCTTCTAATATGTTCAACAATTCTGAGATAGCCAGGAAATGGAAAAAAGGCAATATCAGAGTACCTTTTTTAATTTTTAGTGTCATATTTGTCTGTAACGCTTTGAGAAGACGAAGTATATTCAGGTGAAAATAGAAAGCAATAATAAGTCGTTAAAATATTCATTAATGATCATTGGTATATAATGTTCTTAAAAAATGTTCTTAAAAAAATATCCACTCACGGTATAACTCAAATTACTCACTGTGTTGTAATTTTGTTACGAATTGGCTTTCTCGTGATAAAGCACGATTTTTTCAGTATATTTTTAGTTAAGCGCATGTATTCGTACTAACACCTAGTCACAATACATTGCAATTCACTGGGTAAGATAAAATGCTCTGACCAATAATCGCACATCAGTAATTCCGAAAATCTGCTATAGCAAATAAATGTGATAAAATAAACCAGATGATTATTTCTAAATAGGCATAGAACCAGCCTTGGGGGTAGAACTGGGCCAAATCGCTCCTGTTAGTGATTCCGGTCTCGGAACCGCTTCCTTCTATTCGCTCACCGTTCCTTTCAATCACGTTTCCTTTCGATTCCGACTTCTCCAGGCCAACAAGATTTTTAGTCAGAAACCAGTTTTTAAGTGCAAAAATAGCGATTATTGCCTATATTTGAGGTTATGTAGCATGACGAATTATTTTTTCCAAAAAAACATAGATATCTTCGCAAAGTACAAGCCTTGCCCTTACGAATGTCGTATAGTTTGCTTGAATATCTTTTTTGCCTTAGGTTTTTGTGGTGGTTCATGTATAAAAAAGATAAGATTCCAGCACAAGGAACATCGCTACGCAAGTGTCTGAAGGCAAGCTAAGACCAGAATACCACCGAATACGGCAACAAAACTACCCTCAATGAGTATAAAGCAACTTCGTATAGCATAAATACCTACAAAAGTAGTACTGTATGATGGAGACCTCAACTGTGGACAGTGTGGTAGAGAAATAGGGTCAGTCTTTTACCGTAAAATCATCTAAATATGGTCCAAAACTACATTCAATTTACTTTGTAAGCTTATATATAAAAGTCTATTACCAACAGCGGGAAGGAATTTGATGTAGACTGTACCTTATTGAATTACTGACTATATGTAGTAGTTATTATTGCTTAAAACTACCAACCTATTTTTTAATTTTTTTGTTAAATATTGGACCATAGTTGCATATGATGTTTTTAACTATAGTCCAGATCGAATTTCACCAAGAAAACGTACGCGTATACGAATTTGGACTACAGTTGGAAGGGTCTCATGCAAAAATAGATATATTGAAAGTGATATCTGCAAAAAGAAACTACAAATTACAATCAATAATCTTATTTTTTTATTTATAAGGTACAAATTGAGATCAATTTAACAAAACAGCCTACTCTTCTTAAAACGTCAACAAATGAACAAAGAAAACGTATCTTTCATAGGAACATTTCAAACTGTTCATAGAAATTATTTGAGAAAAGCAATAAAAGATAAAGAAATTAAACAAAAACAATTATTTTTGGAATTTCCCCACCTACTTTCTAGCTCCGGAACTCGGAATAAAGACCTTTTGGTGCTCATTTTTTTGGGCTCCTCAGTTTTATATTTAATATCACCGAGAGGGTAAAATATTTTGTCCTCTTTTTCTGGCCATTTCCACAACAGTCCAGAACGGGCCATACATTTTACGTAGGCTCCTTCTTCTTCGATAGATTCTATCTGGCCAGGCCATAGTTCCCCCTCATACGCCACGACAACATAATCTTCCGGAACATATTGCAGCGATGCATTGTGAGGAGAACTATCATGCTGCTGTTGTATATTTTCATCTTCCCAATCGTCGGCTTCCTCATTTAGCGGGCCATCGGAATCTGAATCGTCAATAGTTTCCGCTGCCTGGTCTTCTTCTGAATCTGTTTCAGTTTCCGAATCTGTTTTCTTCTTCTGTTTTTTTTCTTTCTTCCATTTTTGTTTCTTGTGGAGGTTGAAGGTTCGGACAGGACTCTTTTGAGTTCTTCAGAAGATACGCTTTTTCCGGGATCTACATTCAATTTTCTCTTGCGACCTCCTTTTCCTTGACACACTACAGCTTGCCGCTTATTTTCAAGAAATTGGATGAATGACTCTCCGACGGCCTCTGGATCTAAGGTTGGCTCAGGGTGTTTGAACGTAGGAAGTCTCTCAAGCACTGGCTGTTCATTAGTTGGGAAAATCCCTGTTTTTAAAAAGCCAGCTTTTAGGTTGTCTTCAGTTTTTGGTGCAATTTTTTCCCATAACTGATTAAGCAGTGAAGGGAATGTCTGTTTTGGAATGGTAGGCAAAACTTGACCTTCTCGCGTAGATTTCCATTCATCCAGTATTTTCCGCCAATGGACTTTGAGAGGTCGGAAGTATGCCACGTCCAGCGGTTGTGTAAGGTGTGTACTGTTAGGCGGCAATGCGACGAACGCTATGTTGTGGTCTTCGCATGCTTTGACTACCTTGTAGCTGAGATGTGAGCTTAAATTGTCTCCAATTATTACTTTCTTTCCTTCTTCTCTTCTCAGTGCCGGTATCACTGTGGTGAAAAACCAATCTTCAAAACTATTAGCGTCAAACCAACCCGATTTAGATCGATTGTATCGAGTATTGGAAGGTCCTCCTTCGGTCCAAGTGTCCCACAAATGTTCAGCTTTGTAATTAACATATGGCGGTAACAGTTGACCTGCGGCATTTCCACACATCATCAGACTAAAGGCGGCTTTCGTTGAGTTTTTAATAGCCTCTGGATATTTTGTGCCACGTTTCGTTAGAACTTTTTTCTTTCCTGGGTCATCAACTAAATTAGTCTCATCGTAATTATAAATCAAGTGAGGCGGGATATTCTCAATTTCCATTTTCAAATGATTGAAATAGTTCTTGATAGCTTCTTCATTTACTGCAGCTCGGACACGTTTAATATTGCTGCAGAACCTATGCGAAAGCTCTGATTTGTGTCTCTTTAAAAAAGTTGAGCCCATGTACGACCTGGAAAATTATTTGAAAATTGTGGCACATTCCTTCCTTGCTTGTCCAAATATGTTTTCACTATGCATCGTAGGTCAAATAAAGTGATTGGGAACCCAAAGTGACACATTTGGATGGCGTGATCGACTTTCGTGGTGAATACACATTGCCGACCAGGTGGGCGAACACTATTGTTGCGTATTGCTTTTATTTTCAGAATTATTGAAGATCTTGGTAGTTTATATTTTTCTGACGCCTCCCTTTGAGTTAATACTCTGTTTTCTATATCCGATAGGCACAGTTCCATCTGTCTGTCGCTATAATACTTGTATGGCCTGCCTCCTAGCTTTCTTCTGGACATTTTCAGTGAGTCATCCATCCACACCTGTAATAAAAATGAACTTCTAAATATGGTCCAAAAAAATCATAGGACTATTGTTGAAACCAAAGTACGAAAAATTATTATTTTTCGATTAATTTTTATAACAACACCTATATGTGAAAAACTATTTGCACAAAGTAGTCACTATTAGCTTACCTTCAAACAAAAACAAACCGCGAAACTCGGCACAAACTGCAAGTAATGTTTTCAAATAAAAGTTTCGTCATCCCATAAAACACGCACCGACTTGTTCAATTTGTCGGCCGGATTGCCTTACCGAGCGGTGTTGCCATCTAGTTAGAAGCGCGGTAACTATCAGACTTATACCCATAGGCAATAATGATACACATTAAATTAATTCACTTGGCGGCAGAACTTTCAAACTTTTAAAGACAAAAATGGACAGGTCATTTTGGATCATAGTTGTATAATAGGACTATAGTAGTATGATTTTACGGTATGTGCTTTGTGAATACGACATGATAAATAAGAAGGCAGGCGGGAAATTTGAAAATAAAATCAATGGGCGTAGATGTTTCGCGTTCTCGGAAGGCGTTTAGCGTTTTCGGGACGATGGGCGAAGGTGCCGTGTCTGGTACGTTAAAAATGACAGATGACAGACTGTATCGCTTGTCCCTTTGGAGGACTGGATATGCTTTGGGAACGGAGATGCCTACTCCATACGATCCTAGGCTTGTCTGGTTTTACGCGGTACCATCTTAAAATTATAATGATGGCTTAGCGCGATCTCGGGATGCTACAGAACAATTCAATCTATTGTCGCAACATAAATGTATAGAAATGAGGAAAAGAAAAAATAAATGAACTGCCACCTGGAAGACAGATAACTAAAAATATACTGCCATTAATTGTCATTGTACTTGAAAAAGGCCACCGTGGTGGCCCAAAACGTATAATAAACAAAAATTAAAATATATATGTGGTCAAGTTCGCCCAGACCGTGGAGTCCTAAGCCTTAAAGGCTAGAGTGATGTGGCAGACTTCGGTTAGACAGCTCCTACAGGAAAAAAATCCATATCCATATTGTAAAAGTGAGATATATGAAAAGTATGTCCCAGTTAGATATGTTACAAGTTCGTTGTTTGAAAGTGAAAAGATCACTTTCCAATGACATAATTGTGTAGCAGGATAAAAAATTACTTCTGTTGAATAACACAGCAGATCGTATAATTGTAAAATTGCGATAAAAATAAAAAGAAACTGAACTCTCAAATGATATATCACAGATGTATTTTAGCTGAATGTTATGAAGTGTTTCATGGTGTCTGGCTGCATCGAAATCATCGACCGTAGAGGTTGTTAACTATAACTGACAGCCTCTGAACAACAATGTTAACCTTGCTAGTTAGTAGATAATATCCAAAAGTTCAGTGAAAACCATTCGTTTGTGAGAAATGATGCAATTAATTAGACTTTAGTTTTAAAATACCCTCCCAAAGTATTTAGTGTGCACCGTACAGAATACTGGTATACGGTTGGTTATTATGACAGAGACGGAAAGCAAATAAATCTTATTCAGCCTATATTCTCGAATATTGAAAGATCTAGCTGCTATGTCAGCAAAGTCTTAAGATAACCGAGATATTAAGTTCTGAAAAACTCTAAATAAGCAACTCCGACCCTGCCTCTCTCTCCTCCTAAATCAAAGGATATAACGTTTTGTTGGATTATGACTATGTGAGCATTAAAATCAGGCGTCACGTATGAAGGTAAACCTGATTTATAATCGAACCGCATTTGAAAACAGAAATTGACACATTCCTACAACAATAACGTAGTTATCAATTCGATGTTAGTTTACTGTGAGCGTCTTCAAGGTCCTATTGATACTCCGCTAGTGTATCCGAATATTCAGAACATAGCCGTCGTCCTCGATATTTTTATCAGAGCTGCGTAGGTTTGTTTATATGATGCAAAAGCCGCCTGGATGGACTCAGTTGAAGACATAGGCAAACTCAATCTCAAATGTTGCAAATTTAGGAGGAAGTAAACAAACTCGTGTTTTTTAATCAAACAGCGACAACTTGTAACAGAGCAGTACTTGAAATTCCGTACCAAGTAGTGAGTATCTTTTTTCAATTTCTTTTTCACGTTTTCGGGGCTGTTTTGCCGTAAAATGACTTTATTATTTCAAACGTAGTTATTTCTTGAAAAAGTCTCCACTTTCAGGATTCCATGTATACCGCAGTAAATATATTGCCCGTTTAATATAAGCTACTATGAGAAGAGGATTCACACAGTCACACACGCACAGTTACACAAAGTATCCTTACCTCCCCTGTATGATTCTCGCTAAGATTCCGTATATTTTCAACATAAAATTCCACTGTACAAAACATTAACAACCAAACACGCATGCCATGAAGCAATAATTATTGAATTTAGCAGATATAAAATACTCGTAACAACAAATATCACGGGATTTGTGGTGCCGCGACTTCCAAAATTACTTTAACCTTACGGAATATTTTGAATCTAAAAACCAGTTCCAAATTTATCATGAAATATGACTAATACCGATGTCCACATTTTTGGTAGTGCTGCTTTTGGGGAATTCTGTAAGCGCATTGGGTATTGAAGCTTCTGAGAACCAGAGGTTTTTAAACATTATGTCACTTTGAGAAGCAATTATTTTCTTGCGCTCTCAGAAATTTTATTTAAATATACGTAGTCTGTCGCATGAAAAATTATCCATTGCATTACCCCCCTCCGATTCTCCAAGGTTGCTTACCGCCCCCCCCCCCCACACGTTGAGAAACACGTAACAGAATTAGTAATTTAGTAATTCGCCAATGAAATATGGAAGATCCAAAGATTCGGTTGTCTGTACCAATAGCTGAGCTACACATTTGAATAAATAATATGGAAAACAACTGTACCCTGGATATTACTCTGAAAACTAAAGTATCACAAACAACTGTAAATCAGTATTCAGAAAGAGTCATTGTATTTTAGCACAATGCATTGGCAACAACAGACTTAACATACAAATGTTTAGTCATATTTTCTTAAGTGAAAGGAAATGACGTTATATATTTATTAATTGGAATTGTATGAATATATTCGAGCTATTGTAGCATCGACTCAAAAATGGTAGTAGTAACTGATTGATTATTTATAAGGCTTACATAATCCAGTTTGATCTAATTAAGGTATGCAAATTCACGAATAGTAGGACCCCTCTAGTTTTTTCGTATATATGTTTGAATATCATTCATGAACTAGTTAAAGCATCTATTAACCAAGAATATGTTCAACCCTATAGCTGTTCATATAAAATGTTCATGTTACAAAGTAAAGCTACTTATTGTTAAACATGACACCATCCTTTCAAGATGAGATGACCCCTCAACCCCCTCTTAATTAATCCTAAGATTTCGTATTCTCAGGATTTCTCAACAGTGGAAAAGGAGATCCCACAACCTGCGGCAACAGTCAGAGAGTTGGCAACATCGGTTGCGGTTACAAACACAACTAACGTCAGTTAAATGAAAAACTAACTGACATGGCCTACCAAAGACGCTTTACATAGGACTGACTGACAAGAATCGCCGTACCACTCATCCGCTTTCGATGGATAGCCACGTTGTCAGTCATTCATTTCGGCTGATCGGAGTCACCGAGGTCTTTATTTGTCATAACCACCTCTCGTCAATTGCAACAGCTGCCGGTAAAAGGCTAGGTTACTTGTTTAGAGCTAAGGAGTACCTTTCTCTGCACAAGCTCCTGTCACCAGTTTGGGCTTCTGCCTGCAGTCTCGACTCTAGCTAGCCTTAAGCAGTTCAAAAATCGGATTAATAAGGATCTTTAAGCACCTTATAACCGTCGCGGTGCCCCGATATTTAGGTTTCTGCCTGTTTCAATATAAAAAAGATTGCTTGCTATGCCTGTACGCATAACCTATTACAAATAGAATAATTCAGAGAGAAATGAAGATTAAAATTTAAAACTAATAGATACAAATTGTGGACTCAAACACAATACAATACATCCTCATAAATAAAATCATAAGGCACTCGTCTGTCTGGTATAAGTCTAGGTTACATTCATTATGCTTTCATGTATGTAAAACATCTGGTGACAGGTGTAAAATGAATCAATTGTGTGTCAAGTTCAGTTTGAGTACGAAAGTTTTGGTTTATTGTTCAACAATTTTTTGTACCTTTCTTTTGCTGATTTGAAACAGATGGACTACGGGGAAGTATAACGAAATTAAAGAAATATAAAATCACCTGTAAGTAGTTCTGAATGATAAATTCCGCGTCTAAGAAGCCAAACAAGTCCGGTCGTGCACCACATAGGCGTCCCATCGTTACTCAGGGGGTTGCTCACCATGTTCCCACCTTTGACATACTGGGCAAAAGTTTCACAAACTAAACACAGTGTTGTAGACCAAAAAATACGCGGGTAATCCAAAATCTTGGAAATCCAAGGACAACTGGACGTCGACCTGATCATGCAGCGTGATGGCACGGTACACCATCCTTACCATCATTTCCCGGGCCGCTCACCCTTGCATCTCTCTAACCACTTGGCATTGTATAAACAAAGCAGATGCCTTCGATGCATCCAAGTAAGCTGACCATTAACACTTACCTCACCATGGGCAGA